TGAGAAACGATGTACAAATGCGCTTTACACAATTGATGTGTGTATGGATTGGGATAACAGTTGTATGAGTCCCTAATAAAATGTTAAAAAAGAGGAAAAATAAATAAATTAAAAAAAAATCATCCTGTCATCCTCGGCTTCTCTGTCTCACTCTAAAAATTCCTCCTTCCACAATATAAACAAATTCATACTAGAAAAACAAAATGTGTCAGAAACATTCAACCTGAGTCAACAGAATGATCGGTACAAGGAGCCAACAGGGTGAAACAGAACTGCACTCGTCACACTGGCAGGGCATGAGTACATTGTGCAGACCACTCTGAAACCCACGGCTTCTCTCGCTCACCTTCTGGGGCCGTGGGTAGGGTATGGCTTCATGTATCCACCCACCCCCCTTTCTCCCCTCTCTGCCCAAAGGGCTTTTCAGAAGCTTTCCACGTCCTGTTTCTCCTGTCCTCTGACCACCACCTGTGAACGGTTTGTGGGTAACCACAATGGCCTCTTGCTTGATGAAAGTAACAATTGGTTTCTTGTCATACTCAGTCCTCACAAAATTTCCCTGGTGTTTGAAATATGCTACTTTCTAGTTGGTCTGTTAGAATTAGGTTTCAGAAAGGAAGCCACATAATGGTCTCTGTTTTTAACAAGCTCCTCGGATGATTTTGATGGCAGCAAGTTTGGGAACCACCGAAACTCTTCTGATCATTTGAAGCATAAAGTTAGAATACTCTTGGCATAGTTGGTGGCTTATAAGGTAGGGTTCTGATAGGTTGGTTGGGCTGATGCAGAGTGTGGTCAGGGCACTGTCACGTGGGATGTGGTTATTTACACCGTCACAGCTACTGCCTGGTGGATTTGGAAGGCTCCTCATCCAGCTTATTCAGAGCCGACCTGATTGGACATTGTATCACAGATTGAGTTATGGCGAGAACGCTGCTTCAGAGGACTAGTGTCACTTAGATTAGAGACATCATAAAAATTTCATGACAAGACTAACATGAATTTTCTGAATTTAATTTTAGACCAGATCATTTCCTTGAGCATTCTCAAGAAATATAGTTCTTAGAGTTAATGAGGTTAAATTAATAGATAGACATCTTACAGAATGTATTACATTGGTTTCTGGTATGAGTGCTCTTTCTATAGAATGTCGTGTATCTACACAATTTATATGAATGACATTATATATTCTTTGAGACTGTGTTTAGAACAATTCTGACCTCAGAACTATCTCTGGGTGACAGTATTACCAAGTGGAATGACTTTTTAAAAAAAGTAGCCAAACTTGTATACAGTAGCCATTTTAAAAGAATTTGAATGTGGGCAATAAACATTGTAATTCACATTTAGAGACAGTGCCCCCTAGGAAGAGTAGTACCGTATGTATAATGTAACCAAGTTCTCTGTGGACACTTTGTTAAAGACTAAACACTATTTCTGCTTTTCCCATTGCTCTGTGTTGCCTCTAGTTGGATGTTGCTGGTTTAAGATGAGCAGGCTGTGAATTAAAACTATGTGGACTACTGGCATATTGTTTCACTTCCTCTGTGCACTGGGTCTTTAAATACAGTCAGTATCCCCTCATTGTGTTTTATTGACTATGCAAAGGCATTCAACTTTGTGGATAACAACAACTATACCATCTTTTTTCTCCTTTCTTCTGCATCCATCTCCACTCCAGGGAGCTACCGTCACTTTGGCGGTGTACCAGGAACCTTCTCGACTTGGCAGAGCCACCACACTCTGCTTGCAGCCCCAATAGGGCATCTCAGGAGGATTTACCACAGGTAGAGAGCCTAGGTAGTCCTAGACCTCACACTGGAAGGTTCCCTTCTCTAGGGTTACCTATAGTCTTGCATTACCTGTAGTGTATTGTTTTGCCCTGTTTTATGGTTATTTGTGAGATAAGAAATGGCTAGTCTGAGGACAGACTCACAAACAGAAGTCTATGATTATTTTGTTTTCAATCTGACAAAAAAAAATTCAGGATGACAAGAATTTACAGTCATATTCTGACTTGGAATGGGGGAAATGTTGATCAAAAGGGGGAAAATATCAACATCTCCCTTACTTTAATAAGGTGTCTGGTGTGTCTGTTTTAAAGTCAGACCGAGCCAGTTGCCGTCAAGACAGCCAGCAGGGTGACTCTGGGTGTGCCAGAATACATCTGTGCTCTATCAAGGATCCAGCAGCTGATCTTTGGGAAGTCAGTCTGTAGGCTTTTCTTCTCAGCCATCTCTGGGTAATAACTAGATATCTAAAAATATGTGTGCTATTCTTATTGTATGCAGCGTTTATTAGAAAAGAAATATTTTTCATTGCACACAGATGACTTACACAGTTAAATCACACACACACCCTTCTTTAAAATACTTATTTATTCCAATGGGAATGATATAGTAGAAAACAATTTGAGCATGTTATGGATTTCTGGCTTGCTTAAGAGGGATTCAATCTGCAAGAGATGTTAGGTGAATGCAGAAAGTGGCTCCCTCTGTCT